CCTCCACCGCCAAATCCACCACTTACCATGCCACCAACAAAAACCACAACCTAATCATGTAAACTATTGTCGTCGTCGTTGCTGTCGCCACCACCACCATTCACTGTGCGAGACGCCTCCGCCACTATAGCATTGCCGCCACCACCTACAGACACAGCCTAACACAGATGCACCACCATCAACACAACCCAACCCTATACAAAAGCACCGCCACCAACACCAACAAAACTCCACAACGCAACACACCACCAGTGCTACCACCTTGCGATGCTTTGAAAATCGCTGTAGGGATGAAGCTGTTGCAGTTGTGGAGCACACAGATCACTATCAACGATGGTGCACGATCTTGAGCAGCTCTACTCCGACGTCTAGCGACAATGGTGAGGTAGAGAGAAGGGAAGGTAGAGTAGACAGAAAATGGATTGAAAATGAGGAAGAAAATGAATATTAGGGTTTGAGTTATAGGTATATAATTAACTGAATTTTATAATATTATTATTTAATATTAGAAATTTGTATTATCATCTGATTTTTTTTATATATAAATTATAATTCTGATTTTTGAAATGCAATCTTTAAAAGTGGCCTCCGTGTAATTTCCACTTTATGTTTTTACTAAGGTTAGCAAAATTAAAGTTGGCCCATAATCTTTGTGTGAGCTCTTGAAACCCATTATGAATCACACCTATGTAGCCCAAGTTAGTATCTGGATGGGATTTTGTAAAAAAAATCCAATTCAAGGACAAACCGTGCGATTATACGAGCTATGTGGTTGGACATAAAATTATTGATAAAAGGATAAATCGCTACCCCAAACCAAACATGCTCTGACCTTTAATGGTAGAAATTATGCTAATTATCATGGGAAGTCTACATAAATCAGATTTTTATTTATTACCATTTCAAAATTAAGGTTAGATGTTTTAACATTCAAAAATCAGGTTTTTATTTAAATTTATTTATGAATTACTTAATTAATTATATGTTTTATTAATAAATATATAACGGTCACAGATATATACAATTTGGTCACAATTCGAAATTTTTTAGGTCACAATTCAAAAATTTCATAGGTCACAATTTGTTCATCGGTCACAACTTAAAAATTTAAAAGTCACAATTTTTTCATCGGTCACAAACTACAAAATTTATAAGTCACAATACTTATTTAGGTCGCAATTTATCAATTTATTGGTCACAAATGAATAATTTTTAGGTCACAATTAATAATTAATGGTCACAAACAATCAAATTCTTCGTGACCACCACCAAAATCGTTTGTGA